AAAAAAATCTAAATTTTAGTATTTTATTTGAAATGTAATGAAATAAATTGAGTAAATAATATCGAAATTAGTCAAAATAAGGAAAAAAGTTTGAATTAAAATTCAACATTGGAATAAATGGCTTTGCTTGAAACATCGCGTCATTTTTACTGTTGGTCTACACACACAAATGTGTGTAACTGTTCGTGTGTATATAAATAGGGGCTAGTGAGAACTCCCTCTAACATTATTTTAATAAGGATGGGTCCAGCTTCTTTTCCTTTATTAGTGAGAAGTCCATTCTTTTTGTATTCTCAAATTTACCTTCACACTATTCACTACCCCTTATCCACTAGTTTGATATATTTTTTTTTTATTTTTTTTATTTTAATTTTAATTTTTATTTTTTTATTTATTTCTTCTTTAAAAAATAATAATTCTTTAAAAAAAAAAATTCTTAATATTTTTCTTTAAATATTCCTCTTCTATATTATATTAGTTTTCAGTTAAAACAACTATATGCCAATAAAACGACTAATATTAAAACGATTATTATTAAAACAATTGGTATTAAAACAATGATACATCAGTTTCATAATTTATTAAATTAATTATATATTATATTGTTTCCATTGTAAGATTAACTAATTATTTAATCAAAACATCTTCAAAACAACTATTTGTTAAATCAACTATTTATTCAAACCAACTAAAAAGTAATGAAAACAATAATATTGTTGTGCAAAAACAACTATATTGCTATACGAAAACAACTATACTAAATCAACTACAAATTATTGAAATCCACAAAAGCAAAAGCAAAAAAAACACACCAAAATTCAAACAAAAACGACTATTATTGAAACCGACTACAACCGTAACGAAAACAACTATATCTTTTTGAGTAACACGAACACAATTTCAACAAACCAGCCTCCCAAACAATACCTCCTCCTCGAGGTCAATCTATTCCATTACAGCGGTGGTGGAGGCGGTCTTCCGACGAGGATTCCAGGAATGCTTCCAAAAATCGAAAGAACAAAAAAAAGAAAAAAAATACCAGCAGATTTGCTCATCCCTCAGAAAGGAAGGGGGGGGGGGGGGAGACCGGAAGGCCGTCATCCGTCCTAAATTCGGCAGTGTCGCCTTGTCGTTGTTGAGATCTAGAGCCGGCTTCGTCCTCTCCTTGCCCCACATCCGTCGGATTCCCAATTCGAGAAAGAAGAGAAAGGGGTCTTCCTTGTCGTTGTTGAGATGTAGCGCCGCCTTCGTCATCTTCACCGCCGCCGCCATCGAGCCGAGTGAGTTTCGGTTCCAGAAAAGAAGAGAAGAGGTGATGGGGATTTGAGAACGGCAGTTTATGGGGATTGAGAACGGCGATTTGTTGCAGTAAATATGGCTAGGGTGTGTAAATATAAGATTTGGAAAATTAAGGATAATATAGGTATAACACTTAATAATTGTATTAATATTAATTTAATTAAGTAATTGAGGGGGTTCTCACTAATAATAAAAAGGAGGCTATATTCACCTTGATATAAGTAAATGAATTGGGGGATTTTTACTAATTATCCCGTAAAAATTTGTCCAATGTGTTTCACCGATGGAGCATATTATGAACCTATTTGATGCCCATTCAAGACTTTGTTTGTGCCATTCAATGATGTCTGATAAATAATAATGACTAGGGATGGGATTGAAATTTACTCCAATCTCATCGCCTTAAAAAATGGATATTAATAAAATATATTTTAAGCAAATGATAATAATAAAGATATGTCCCTTTCACAAAATTCATCACTCTTGAACCCATCAATAAAAATATATTTAAAGGGTTATCATAGAATATTTGATACACAAAACAACTTTATCGAATCAAAATGAAACTGCCCTTTGCTTCAATGTTCATTCTAAAGCTTTTCCTTCTCTCTCTACTTAATATCACAACAAACGCAAAAGTCGTTAACAATAAATTGCTTTCCGAAATATGTCCGAAAACAAAGAGTCCCGAAAAATGTTTGACAATTTTGGGTGCTAATCGAAAAACTCGTTTGGCTTCTTCTCTACATGGTCTCGGATTAGATTCTCTAACCCTCGCAATTTCTAGAGCAACAATGGCGGCGAACACATTTAATGCATACTTGCTTCGAGGAAAAAATGTTCCCTGGATAGAGAAGAACATACTCAAGGAATGCCGTGAGAATTATTTGGCTGCCGCGAAAAGTTTAGGTAACGCAAAAACTGAATGGAACGAAAAAAAATATCGATTAGCAGTAAAGAGTATAGAACGTGCACACAACATACCGATTTCTTGTGAGAAGGCAATTGGAGCACCGCCATTAATGGGTGAAGTTAGACGAGTAAATAAAATAGCGGATATTACTTTCGACATTGCTCTTGTTGTAGCAAAGGAGATGGAAGTCAATGGAAATAAGAGTGAGGATGGATACATTATATGAGGAAGAAATATATATATGTCAGCATAATAAATTGTGATGGAGTGAGTTATAATTTTGTGCTTTAATTTTTATCTTTGTTTTTAATTTTAATACATTTTCAATACTTTCATGAATATACGACTGCATTTATAACAATATTAACATCTAAAATTTTCTTTATAGGGGTTCAAAGTGCATTTAACTATTTAAATAGTAAATATATATATATATATATATATATATATATATATATATATATATATATATATATATATATATATATATATATATATATATATATATATATATATATATATATATATATATATATATATATATATATATATATATATATATATATATATATATATATATATATATATATATATATATATATATATATATATATATATATATATATATATATATATATATATATATATATATATATATATATATATATATATCACAACAGAATGAAATAATTCAGTGTTAAAATAATTAAATCAAGTTCAACAATTTAAAATGTATTTCATTTGGTGTGCCTCTGATATATACCATGTTTAATCGGTATTATTTTCTTGTCAACTTCCATTTATTTTAAATAGATCTTTTATTTTAAATAGATGGATGCAAAAGCCTCTATAATTGTTTTGAGCAAATAATAATAAGGATAATTATACTCTTCACTAATTGCATCACTTTTGACCCAATAAAAGAAAATTCTATATAAAGAGGGCTTCGACGAACGAATGATTCGCAGCACAAAACAAGTTCGTCAAATCAAAATGGAACTGCCCTTTACTTCAACGTTCATTCTAAAGCTTTTCCTTGTCTCTCTATTCGGCATCGCAACAAACGCAAAACCCACAAACAATACTAAACCGGTTTCCATTATTTGTCCGAAAACAAAAAATCCCGAACAATGTTTCAAGATTATGGATAACAAACATACTCGTTTTGCTTCTTCCCTTCTTGGTCTTGGATTAGGCACTCTTGACCTAGCAAAAATCCAAGCCAGATCATCGGCAAACGTATTTAATACAATATTACATACGAGAAAAGAGCTTACATGGAGTGAGAAGACACCATATCAAGATTGTCGCCATAATTATATGGTGGCTATGGGAAAATTGGGCGACGCGCAAACTGCGTGGATCGAAAGAAAGTATGCGTTAGCGAGAAAGAGTATAGAAGTTGCATACAAAGTACCTAGTTCTTGTGCGAAGGCGCTACCGATTTCAGTGATTCAAGTTAGGCAAGCGAATGAAATATCGGACATTACTTTTGAGATTTGTCTCGTTATTGCGAAAGAGTTAGAACACGGTAGAAATTAATTAGACCGAAGATGATAGTTACATTTGATGAGGAATGTATACAAATGTTACTATATGAATAATAAATTGTGATTTTGGATGAATGTGCATTTTGTGCTTTTATTAATAAATTTATTTTATGGGTAGATATATTAGTTACTAACTATACTTTTTTTTTTAATTAATAAGCATAACATTAAAATAGTTAGAAGGATGCAAATCCATGATAATTAAGTAATCCTACATGCTTGAGAGATTTAGTTAAAATATCTATAGAAATGATAATGTTATTTTGAGGGACTAAAATTGAAACAATTATATGTTTAGGGGTGAGGATTGCTATATAGATTATTAGATTATACCTTGTAGGGGTGCAAAGTGCAGGTAGTAGTTTAAATATTAATCATAAATAATCATTTATTGGTGATGTGAAAAGTGAAACTACTCAATAAGCCAATATATATTATTGATTCGCAGTCTATGTAGCACGACGCATAAACGGCGATACAAGAAAATGGAGATACGGACACGGGGAAACGGCATGTCCAAAAAATGGGGATACGAGGGTTTGGGGGAAACGTATAAATATTAAAAGTTAGGGGTATATTTATAAATTAAATATGGTATATAAACATATATAAGTTTTTATTTATATATGAATTCTTTTTATATAATATTCAAAATAAATTTCACTATAAACTATCCATTTACAATTGATCATTAAATCATGTAAATAATTAGGAAGCAATAAAAATATTTAAAAATCTGCTATTCAAACATGTTTCTAAGTTTTTAGAAATTGCAAAATGGCCTATAAGGTGCCCGTGCTAATTATGCAGAATTTTTTAAAATATTTACATAAAAAATATGGATTTGAGAATTTTTTTGGCCTCTGTCCCTATGTTGGCTCCGCCACTGCTTAGAATTGTATGTATATTAATTTCGTAAAATTTTCTATTATTAAAACAGAATAAAGAATTAATATGATGTTGGATCTACATTTAAGCAAAATATCCCCTTCAATTAAAAATGGATACTAAGCATTCATAAAGAAATAAATTAAAATTGACAAGAAAATATTAATGAAAAGATTAGACTATACATAATCATAACCCTAATTTTCCTCAGCAAATAATAATAATGAAATGTATACTCCTCACAAAATTCATCACTTTGAACCCATCAACAAAAATCTATATAAAGGGGTATATATATGATGAATAAATAATTTAATTTGAAGCACAAAAAATAAGTTCATCACACCAAAATGGAATTCTCCTTTGCTTCAATGTTCATTCTAAAACTTGCCCTTCTCTCTCTACTCGGCATCGCAACATTCGCCAATAACATACCAACGAATAAACTAATTTCCGATATATGTCCGAAAACAAAGAACCCTAAAAAATGTGCCGATATTTTGAGTATCGGTAATAGCACTCGTCCTGCTATTCCCCTCGATGGATTGGGATTAACGATCTTGGATGTTGCGATATTCCAAGCCAATTTATCCGTAGACGCGTTTAACCTTGTAATAATTAAAATAAAAAATCTTCCAACCAAAGAGAAGGAGAAATATCAGAAATGTGGCGATGGTTACGCGGGGGCCGTGAAGAAGCTAGGTGACGCGAAAACTGCGTGGATTAAAAAGAATTACGCGTTAGCAAGAAAGAGTATAGAAGTTGCGAACGATGCACCTATTTCTTGTGAGAAGGAACTAAAAGCAATCCCACCACCGTTGATTTCCGTTACGACAGTAAACGAAATTTCACACATTACTTTTGAGATTGCTCTTGTTATAGTGAAACACTTGGAGGGTACACAAAAATGAAATACAGCGGGCGTTTTACGCAATAAAAATTAATACATCCATAGAGATTTTGTGCTGGTTTCTTTTAACAATTTTCGAATTCCGTCAATTCCGATCAGAAAATATCCGAATTTGGAACCGTATTTTTCATTCCGATTTCCGATTCTTTCGAATTTATTTGCAACGGAATTGGAATTGTATATAAAATTACTAGAAATTCCGATTTCCGATCTAATTTAAGTTTCGAATATTCCTTTGGTTTTTTTAAATATAACTTAATATAATTTTATGTAATCTCATAATATAACTTATGTTATATGTTATGAAATATATAAACACGGAAAGGTCAAGTAAATTAAAACCTTAGAAAAAATTAATTGGTATAAAAAACTTTATGTTGCATTTTCTCTTTCAAAAAAGTTGAAAATTTTCCGAAAAAACCATTTTCGATCTATTCCGTAAGGCTTATAGATAATTGCCCCAAAAATAAAATACCCATATATAATGCATAATTGTGAGTTCAAAGAGTTTCAATAATGATATCATGACAAACGAAGATTGATGCTCAATAAATCTTTATATATATATATATATATATATATATATATATATATATATATATATATATATGGATTATTTGTCAAAAGCCCCCCGTTACACAAGTGTAATTACAGTAGGTCCAACTTTTTTAGAACTTTTTGAGATAAATCCATTTCATCATTAAATAATAAAAAACAATAAATTATCACTATTATACCCCTAACTTAAATAATGAAGGATGTTTGGCATATAGCCCCATAAATTAATTACTAATTACCAGCGAAAAACAAGTCTCCAAAGGAATTCAACCCAAATCCAACTCCTCAACACTGACTCGTAACGGAAAACCCATTCACACAAATTTCACTCATTGTGTGAAGAAAAAACCAAAAAAAAAAAAAAAAAATTAATGGTTATAAATATTCCAGATCCGGCAACGGAAAGTGGAGGATATGCATGTGAAGGAGCGGCGGCCGCCGCGGTGGAAGGGCACAAAGTGTTGAAAATCGTAATTCATATTTTCAATAATGAAGTTGGAACATCATTCAAAGATGAAGACTTGACTTGTAGAAGTCAAGAAGGTTCTTGTAATTTGTTAAGTCTTTAACATTTCCTAAGAACTTGGGACTTGGAATGGAGTGTCTCTTTGTATCCATTCCTAGCCTATAAATTGTACCCAAGATGGAATATGTAAGCAAGCAAGAAAGCAGTAATAACAACTAAAAACTAAAAATTTCCAGCTCTAAAAACCTCTCTTGTTCTTAAGTAAATCCATTGTTCTTCACTTAGTAAAAATCTCTACACTAATTCTTGGTGTTCTTTCTTAACACCACACTTCCGCATATTAAAAACTCCAACAAATTTGGCATCAGAGCCAGCATTCTTGGCTGGTCTCTCCACCCTTTATCCGACGATCCAACCCTCTTTCAATTTCCAAAATATATTTTCACCATGTTTGCACTTACCCCCAACCAAGTACCCATCTTCGACGGAGAACACTACGACTATTGGAGTAGTCAAATGCAAACTTTGTATATCTCTTTGGATCTTTGGGATATCGTGGAAAATACATACGCCGAGCCACCAAAAGAAGCTACGAGTGAATCGTGGAGTGAAGCACAACAAAAACTTTACAAAGAGAATATTCGGAGAGATGCAAGTGCCTTGAGATATCTTCAACAAGGTGTGAGTAAAACCATTTTTCCAAGAATCTTTGGAGCAAAAAAGGCAAAAGAAGCTTGGGATATTCTACAACAAAGTTTTAAAGGAGATGAGAAAGTCACTTCTTTAAAACTCCAATCTCTTTGGAGAGATTTCGATAACATGGCAATGAAAGAAGGCGATGGAATGCAATCCTTTCTTTCCAAAGTTGCTGAAATCGTCAACCAAATTCGAAGCCTTGGTGACGTTATTGAAGAACGTAAAATTGTTCAAAAAATTCTAAGAAGTCTTCCGGCGAAGTTCGATCATGTTGTTGCGGCTATAGAAGAATCTAAAAATCTTTCCACCTATACCTTTAATGAATTGATGAGTTCTCTTCAAGTTCATGAGGAAAGGTTGAATAGGTCATCAAATCAGCCCGTGGATCAAGCTTTTCAGTCGAAACTTCATATTTCGGACAAGAAAAGTTCAAGATGGCAAGGTGGAAGAGGCGGCTTCAACAACAAAGGAAAAAGGCAAGGAAAATTCTTCAAAGGAGGAAAAGAACAACAATCTGAAAATTCTTTTTCGGGTTGTCATATTTGTAAAAAATCGAACCATGAAACAAAAAATTGTTTCTTCAGATGCAAGAGCTGTAAGGATACGGACCACTCGTATTCTAAATGTCCAAGAAAAAATAAAGACGACAAAGACGAAGCAAACTTCTCCAAGCATGAAGAAGACCAACTATTTTCTTGCATAAATGGGCAAAAAGAGTTCGAGAACGTGTGGTATGTCGATAGCGCATGTAGCAACCACATGTGTGGTGATCGTAGTATCTTTGTGGAGATAGATACTAATCACTACTCTAAAATAAAACTTGGAGACGGAAGCATTCTTGAAGCAAAAGGAAAAGGCGCAATTGATGTTAACAAAAATGGAGGCAATCAAAAGCTCATTAAAGATGTTCTTTTCGTTCCGAGCATCACTCAAAATTTACTGAGCGTCGGCCAACTCATGCAAAAAGGTTATCGGTTACTTTTTGACGATAACGAGTGCAGCATATTTGATAAGAAAACCAAAACTCATGTGATGACAATCCAAATGACATCAAACAAGGTATTTCCCTTTGTTATGTCGTTGGAAAGGGAAATGGCCTTCAAAGCTGAAAGTGTTGATAAATCTCATTTGTGGCATTTGAGATATGGTCATTTGCACAACAAGGGGCTGCAACTATTGAAGCAAAAGAGTATGGTTGTTGGCCTTCCATCAATTGAAAGAAAGGAGCAAGTTTGTGAAGGGTGCATTTTCGGCAAAATGCATAGGCTACCTTTTCCTAAAACTTCTTGGAGAGCCAAATGTCCACTCGAGCTGGTGCATTCGGACATTTGTGGTCCTACGAGGACTCCATCTCTCGGTAACAAAAGGTACTTCATTCTTTTTGTCGATGATTTTTCAAGAATGATGAGGATATATTTTTTGAGTGAAAAATCGGAAGCTTTTTCCATTTTTCTTCAATTCAAAGCTCTTGTTGAAAATCAAAGTGGATTAAAAATCAAGTCTTTACGGACGGATCGTGGTGGTGAGTTTCTCTACACACCATTCATGGAGTATTGCAAGAAAAACGGAATTCAAAGACAACTCACCGTTCGTAGAAGTCCACAACAAAACGGTGTAGCCGAAAGGAAGAATAGAACCATTGTCGAGATGGCGAGGAGTATGCTTCAAGGAAAAAGCTTGCAAAAACAATTTTGGGCTGAAGCTGTTCACACGGCTATCTACATACTCAACCGGTCCCCGACAAAGGCGGTTCTAGATAAAACACCGTACGAAGCTTGGGATGAAAAGAAGCCAACGGTGGATCACTTGAGAGTTTTTGGCTGCATTGCCTACTCTCATATCTCAACTCCAAACCGAGATAAATACGATGAAAAAGGTGAAAAATTAATTCTTGTTGGCTACAGCGATGAGTCAAAGGGTTACCGTCTTTATAACCCCGAAACTAAAAAACTCATCGTGTCAAGAGATGTGATTTTTGACGAAATGGCCAAATGGAATAAAGAGGACAATTCTTCACCAAACTTGGTGTCAAATGATTCCTTGGAGTCACTTTTTGTACCGGAAGGGCAGCAGCAAAATGGAAATGAATCTCCTCCAAGAAAGGTACGATCATTGAAAGATATTTATGAGCATTGCGATATTGCTTTCTTTGGTTGTGAACCTCAGAATTTTGAAGAAGCATTAAAAGAAGAAGTTTGGAGAAAAGCCATGGAAGCCGAAATTGAAACAATTAAAAAAAAAAAAAAAAACTTGGGAGCTTGTGGATTTGCCACAAGGCAAAGATGTAATCGGCTTAAAGTGGGTGTTCAAAACCAAACTCAATGAAGACGGTTCTATCCAAAAACACAAGGCACGATTAGTTGCAAAAGGCTATTCGCAGCAGCCCGGGATAGACTTCAATGAGACTTTTGCACCAGTAGCACGAATGGAGACAATTCGGTGTGTTCTTGCAATCGGAGCTCAATTGGTGCTGAATGTTTATCAATTGGATGTCAAATCCGCATTCCTTAATGGAGAGCTTAAAGAAGAAGTCTATGTTCATCAACCTCAAGGCTTTGAAGTTGCCGAAAAGGAGGAAAAAGTCTATCGTTTGAAGAAAGCTCTCTACGGATTAAAACAAGCACCACGAGCTTGGAATAGCAAAATTGATGGCTATTTTTGCAAGAATGGATTTCAAAAAAGTCCAAGTGAGCCCTCACTCTATGTAAAAAATGAAGGTACTCAAGATTTTTTGATCATTTGTCTTTACGTTGATGATCTTATTTATCTTGATACTAACGTGAAAATGGTGAAGGAATTCAAGAAAAATATGATGCAAGAATTTGAGATGTTTGATTTGGGACTCATGAAATATTTTCTTGGAATTCAAGTAAAACAATCCGACGGAGAGATTTTTATTTCTCAAGAAAAATACGTTGATGATTTGTTAAAAAAATTCAAGATGGAAAATTGCAAACCCGTGGCAACACCTTTGGCGGTGAATGAGAAGTTGCGACAAGACGATGGAGCTGAAAAAATTGATTCAAAAATATATCGAAGTCTTGTTGGTTCGCTTATCTATCTAACAAACACAAGACCCGACATAGTGCACTCCGTTAGCTATGTTTCGCGGTATATGAGTGAGCCAAGCAAGCTTCATTTTGCAGCGGCAAAGAGGATCCTTCGATACCTTCAAGGAACAAAGAAGCAAGGGTTGAAGTACGAAAAAGAAGAAAATAATGCCTTGATCGGTTTCACGGATAGTGATTGGGCAGGTTGTTTGGATGATCGAAAAAGCACTT